TACTAATGCTCTGACTCATAATTACTAATCCTATGAGTCATTATTACAAATAATTTGATTAATAATTCGAAGTAAATAATTATGTCATAAAATAAGTTAAAAATAGAAATGATGTAATGATCTACATGTGTATCATGACGTGCAACCGTTGCAATAAATATATATAGAAGATGATTGTTAATCGTGATGTAATATTCAGCGCAACACATGACTTCCGTAGTAAGTTCGTTCTAATTGGTCAATATTAACGGTCAATTGGTTGGTCCACGGATTACAATCTCACAATACTAAACGGATTGATTTTTTCCAATTTCAAAGATTGACAATATTAAAATAAATTAATAAATTAATAGGATAGTATGCCATGAAGGGTTGATGCTGTTTTAGAAGTAGAGGAAACCCGACAAGATATTAATTTTTTTAATAAAATATAATCAATTTAAAATAGTTTTATATATCTTTTATGTTTCAAATTAGCAAGCAGTTTGAGGTTGAATCATTTTGTAAAATTTTTTATGATTTATTTTTTTCCTCAGTAATTAATTCACCAAATGCTCTAAAATTTTAGAAATAGCTAGATTTAAACACGAGACACATTTTTTACTTATACCACAAAGGTCATTAGAACTTGCTATTGTGGTCAATTTTCAAGTCAAACATTTTTCAGAAAATTCCGAAATTTTCATTTTTATCTTTTAAGGTCTGTAAACAACAATGTTTTTATTTATATGTGGTGAGACTTTGGTGTATTATAGTATTTGATATGAAGATTAATAAGCAGGTGTGATTGGGATAGTAAAATTTTTAGTTCTTGTTATGTCACTTTATTCAATTATTTGCAATGATCTGCATGTGTCCCTATACTTTTGTCCAGGATGTGTAAAACCATAAAAATAGATTTAAGGACTTGTTATGAGAAAGTAAAATTTAAGCAATTTTTTGAAAGACATCTTCAACTGTGTGCATTAAAAAAAAATGAACTAGAATTATTTATAAAAGCCCTTTGAAACAACCAGTGAAAAATCAGTTATACATAGATATAGATATAATTTTAGTTATAATTTACCTTTATGTCAGCCAATATATTACACTTATTTTCTTGAAAAAATATCATTAAATCATGTATGATATCAAGACTAATTCATTTTCTTCATAATCTTCTAAGCCTAATTTTATCAAATTATATGTTGGTCTTATATTTGAATCTAAAGGCAAATTTCCTAAAGTACTTAATAATAATTTGTCATATTGATGTAACATATGTTTGATGATCAACAGCCACAGAACACCATAATGCAACATTTATAATAAACCACCTTTATTATTTTTGAATGAATTTTCTGAGATTATGACATCTATCACTTAAAATATTTTTGAAAAGCTTTGTTCTACATCCACCCAGACACTGGAAGCCATATATACTCTAAAGCAATCCTAGAAAGTAATGGTAAGATTTTTTGTTTATCAGCCAATACTTATTTAAATCTAAAGTTTCCTCCAAAAAATTCATTATCTTCACAATAAATATTCCATTCATTGATTAATTCATCTGAGTTTATATAGCAGAATATTTTTTTGAGATGAAGAAGCTCTAATAAATTTTGGGTTAAAGCATTGAATTTCTTTAAAGAGGCAATGCTGAATGCCCATTAACATGTTTGCATAATCTGTTATAGGGAAGTTGAAAGGCTTGATATTAAAGATTCTTCTGGTACATTTTGGACTCTACATAAATCAAACATACTTTGATTTAAAGGAGGATTTCCAATGCTGGGATTTTATGCTTCTATTTTCTAAATGGTTATCAATCATTGACTTTTGTTTATTATCTACTACATGTTTGCAAGCAATACAAATAATTTGTCACATCAGCATAAAAATCATCTTGGAGCCATTTTTATGTAGTACAATTATGCAATTATGCACTGCAAATAATTTAATAATAATAAATAAAGGAAAACCTTGCTTAGAATTATTATAAAATTTTTGAATTTACTAGTTACCTCTATATGTATTGCTCTGGGTCCTTAATGAACCATGAATGACACAATACTGGCAAATCTATAAATATGAATAGATTTATTATTATAAATAACAAACAACTTGCACTTTTATAATTGTATTTGATAACCCCAATCTTTTGTCATAATTAATAAAGATTAATGGTTTTTTAATTGTACAGTATTAAATGCATGTATTTTATCATTTTTTAATATAATGTATGTTTATTGATTTATGTTTCTAATTTATTAATTCTAAATTTTTGATGATAGTAAACAACAATATAAAACCAAATTTAGCTTACCGTATAAATTATAGAGAAAGATCCATGATGATAAAAAACGCCTTTAAAATTAAAGGTAAATAAAATCTTTATAGTTTTTTGTATGAAAATAAACTCTATTTAGAAGTTTGTGTAGCTTGTAAAAAAGTAAAATATGATCATCCTTTCATCATATGTATATAATCTTTTCTTAGATAATTATTATTATAGTCAAAAAGAAAGTGCCGTTTTTTTTTCCAAATCTAGAAATATACGAATATATATATCCATAGATTCTGACAAATACTTATAACAACAAACAACATTTTTATAATATTGACTTTAATAACAATAATGGGAGCTGTAATATCTCGTTTTAGGTCGCAAAATAATGATAATTATGAAAAAATTTTATCAGAACTTGATGATAATATTCGTAAAGCAGAAGTACGTCTAGGAGAAATAAGAATACGAGAACGTAATGCACTGATAATTTGGATAGTGTATTCATTATTGGCATATGTTGCATATGTAATGGGATATTGGTATTTTGTTTATATGTCTAATGAGGAAGAAAATTGGGATTTCATGAAAGTGGCTCCTGTATTGACAGGTCCTTTTTTCATAGTTATTGGTTATAGATTTCTCGCTTTATGGTACAAAAGAAAAGAAACCAACGAAATATCTCAACTTGAGCATTTAAGAGCCAGACAAAGCCTTAAAGTAGAAGAATTAAAAAAAAGAACTGGATATTATACTACTAAAACTTTATTAGAAAGATATGATTCGCCAACAAAACCAATGACCCCTGGTCAAAAAATTCCTTTAATAACAACACCAGGAAGTTTAAAATCTGGTGCTCCACAACAACAACTTCAATCGCTCATCAATCCAAATTCTTTACGTCAACGTTTACCACCAAATAACAATAACAATAACAATAACAATAACAATAACAATAACAACAATAATGGAACAAATGGCAATAAAAATAGTAATGGAATAAATGGTAGTAGTAATGGAATAATTGATCATCAAATATCTAGATCAGCATCAATCGATAAAACTAATATACAAAATCAACGTCATTGGTATGATAAATTGGTTGATGCAATTGTTGGTGAAGATGAACAAAAATATGCATTAATTTGTAAGAATTGTTATACTTGGAATGGTCTGGCTTTTGCTTCTGAATTTGATGATATTCAATATTATTGTAAAAATTGTAATCATTTTAATACATCAAGAAGATCTTTAAGAAACGGTACTAGTTCAGCACCACCACCACCAACAACATCGTCGTCAACATTATTAACAACACCGACAAATAATAATAATAATAGTAGTAATTTACTATCATCCAATGATAATCTTGACGCCTCTATTGATTCTCTATCGTCAAGAAGAGGTCGTTCCACAACACCAAAACCAACAAGTAGAGATTCATCATCAGACCCTGAAAAATCGAAAGAAAAATATGATGATTATGATGATGATGGTGTTTCTGTTAGTAAAAGGTTAGCTTCAAGATCTACAAGTAGAAAAAGAAAAGGTAGCCATGGTAGTCGTCGTGGTAGTACTGATGATGATTTTGAAGATAATGAATTTAAACCTTATAATGTTAGAGATGATGAAATAGGTAATCGTGAAGAATAATATGAATGAATAAATGAATTTATATACATACATATACATGTGTGTTTTCCCTTAATTTCTTTCTCTTTCACATTCATTCACTCATTCAATCTTTTTTATTTAATTCCCACCATTCGTCCAAACATTAATTTCCAACTATGATTTTGTTGGAAACAGCCTTTAAATGCAAACTATTATTTGCTAGCATACACATACAACGCTATATATATATATATATATATATATATATATATATGTATATTTTATATATTTTATATATTTATATATTAATATTTTCATAATTTCTACGAGTTCAACCTAACTCAAAATTCCCAATTTTTGTTATTATAGAGAGTATGGTATTAATTAATATTAGTGTAGTATTTATTTTTGAATTATTCTCTAAAAAATAAAAGTTTTTCACAAATTAAAAAAATCATTTTTATTATCAAACAAAACTACATTTGATAAAATGAAAATATCAAACCGTGTTCAAATTGTCAAGTTTGAAACACACATAGACAAGTATGTAGAGTAAGTAACTTTTATATATATTCGATTTGTATTAAATTGATGATTTTTGGCTTTGAAGTTAATTACGCGTAATAGTAAAAACACAATAATATTAATAATAAAATAAAAACGCGTTTGAGAGCTGTCTTTGCTGTCCGAGTTTTGAAATCACTACTACATTAAAGACTTTGCTTCTAATAAAACTCCATGGATATTGACCGCTGATGTCACAATCCGTTCTCGGTTTTTATAATAAAAATATACAATTATTTAATAGAGTGAAAGTTACTATTTAATTTCCTTCGCTTCTAGTAAAAGTCCAAGAAAATTAACCCCCACCACCAGATGTGAAAAGTAGGAACTACGTATATTTTTCTATCTTACATATAATAAAAATAGTCATCTGTTATCATATTGAATAGGTTTTAATAATTTATTCAATAAAACAAATGAAAGGTCTTTCTCTTGAATTTTTCTTTTTCTTTTTGGTATTACTTTAACAATAAAGAAATGATGAGGCGAAGATGCATAAGGACTATCTTTTATTCCCCAAGTACAACCCTTTGTTTTACTATTTCCATATACGGTTGTAACTATATAACAAACCTTTCTTTATACATGTAAAATAAGTAAAATCGCACTATGAACTTCTCTTTTTGTCTCAATTTCATTTTATTTAATTGATTTCTTTTTCTATAACGAAGTCTAATAACATATCTACCTATAGCAAACAGAGACACAAAATCACATATTCGTTATATAGAGTGAACAGTATAATATATTATTGAGAACGTTAACAACCATCCAAAGAGGTAAAATCACGAGTTCTCCATGTACGTTTTTAAGTTTTTTTTGTCCTTTTGTATAAATAATAATAATAATTAAATTATATCTGGTCTAAAATGTGACGATAGCAGATGCAAGCACATGTGACTGACTTATCAAAATTTTTATAAATTTTGAAATGCTATCTAGAACAATTGCATTTGATATTAGAATACTTCTTCTAGGGCTCCCTTGTACAGCAGCAATTATTAATCATTTCAGTCGCTTCTATTCTATAATCAATCAATCATTTATTAATTAATAAATAAGTACATAAAGCAGCGGACAATAGTAAAATCACGTTGTAGTAAACTTTTTTTATTTTTTTTATAATACTTTTATAACTCAAAGCACATCTTGAATGTGTAGAGTTCATACATCTTCATATGATGCAATATGACAACCATTAATATTTACATGGAAGAATAATCCTCTATATATTTTTCTTTTCTTTAAATAAATTATGTGTTGTGAATTAAAATAAATAATAAATAAGATTTCAAGTTAAACGTCGCAGTGAGTGAGCGGCGGCACGTGCACAAAATTTTATTAATATTAATAAACAAGTCAGACTCCTATATAGTCACACACCTCGGGATCATAGTGAAATTTCAAGAATTTTGGTGACTATAGTGTTTGTGACTATACAGGACATGTTTTTACTATGATTAATTAGTAGCAGGGAATTTTTCAAAAATGTGACTATACTATGTTGTGACTATATAGGATGTGACTATATAGGAGTCTGACTGTAATAATAAAACAAAAACAGGACAAAACGACGGATTGTTTTTCTTCGCAGGAGCAGGAGCAGTAAATGTCAATTAACTAAATATTAATATTAATATTAAACAGCTTGTTAAAACTTTTTTTTTTTTTTTGCCGCCTTATCAAATTTTGCTTCAGTATTAACTTTTTCCAATCTTTTATATTATTCTAACACTGCTTTAGAGACCTTTAATTGAGCATAGTCAAAATCGAGAATATGGAAATTTTTTAACGAAGGAGCTCGGCTCATTGCAACATATATTTGTCCTTCAGCAAATATGTTCTCATCGACATTCAACAATATGGTTGGGCTTGTTTTAATTAGTTATTTTTGGTTTTTTTTTTTTTTTTTTTTAATGAAAGTATATTATGAATTTGATCAATTAACATTCCTTCATTTTATTACTCAAATGTAGAAGGCATTTCTCAAACTAAAGCTTAATTCTATTTAAGAAATTTATTTTTATAAATTAACAGTGGCTTTAATTATTTAAACATAAGTTTATCTATTATTATATAAATCAAAGGGACAGAAAGGATGTAATTCATAGTCAGCTTAAGCTTTTTTTATTGGTCCGACATCTTTTCTTTCTTTTATTATAAATAGAACTTCCATCTGTTTAGAAAAAAATTTGGCAGCGCTTAATTTAACGTTAACATTAATGTAAATGAAATGATGATGTTGGTGTTAACATTGGCGTTAACATTAACTTTAACTACAGTGCGGATCATTTATACTCAAGAGTTAAAATTTTTGAAATATTATGTGATCAACACATTGGGTTTTAAAAAACCCACCACCATTCAATTCAGCTTTAAAAAAAGGGAGTCTATTAATCTAAAAAAAAATTTGTCTCAAATTTTCTTTTCATAGATTTTTTAATTTGAAAGAAATACAGTCAGGGACAGTGTTGGAAATTTGTTGATCTTATGATCTGCAAAAAAGAAATTTTTATTTAAATAAAATTCATAAAATTACAAATTATAGAAATAAATAGTTCTATGAATTAATTCTCCTATTTTTTTTATCTTCCCAATATTCACATGCTTTCTCATAATTAAAGTCTTCAATTTCAGGTCCATTTAGTAAAATCATCAAATGATTATTTAATGTATCAAGATTCATTTTGTTCCTTAATTTGTTCTTAAAGAGGTATAATAAGAGATATTTTAACTAAAAGGGATATATTTGGGTAATTAAGTGAAAAGTCCTCATCTGTGTCAAAAATGGATTTCCAGAAATTAATAAAATCTAGTTCATTAGATTTATTAAGCTGGAGAATATATTTTACTAAACACCATTCTTCAAAAAGTTGGTTCTTATCATTAATTTCTTGAAATTCTTCCCCATCTACAAATTTAATTTCTCCATAAAATTCACTAAGAAATTCTATCTCTTTATTTCCATATAAATTTAGTTGTTCATCATCATCTGGAATTTCTTTTGGATCAAAGATGCTAAATGAGCTATATAATTCTGTTTGTGGAAATCTTTTTTGAATAGCATCAATTATTGCAATTGAATACTCTTTAATAAATGGTGGAGAATCAAAATTATTCTTATTTAAATATTCTTTGAAAATGAGACCATTGTTAGATGGAAATTGTTCATTACCGATGAATTCATACTCTATTTCATTGATTGTGTTGTTGAGGCTTTTTTTAAATTGAGATAATGATAAAAAATCTAATTGGAAAGTGTTAATCAATTTCTTTAGAATATTTGTTAAGTCAGCAAAGTACATAATTGCTAAAATAAAACCTTGATCCAACTGATCATACAATAATTGAGCATGTTTATCACCTTCATTAACATAATCATCAAGAGTTGCAAGTACTGAATCCATGATTTTATACAAATTGCTAACAGAATTAGAAAAGGACAACCATCTTGTATCACATAAATTTAATATCTTTAATGATGGTTCATCATTAATATCCTGCATCATTCTTAACATGCTTTGTCTCTTATGTGATTTAGAAAAAAATGCATACAAAATTTTTAAGGTTTTCTCATATTTTTCAAAATATAATACTTCATTTGAAGCATCTTTTCCAGCCAAATGAAGTCTATGTGATACACAATGATTAGATGACATGAACGGATTTATTTTTTTAAGTCTTGCAGCAACACCACTTTTATAGCCAGTCATATTAGATGCACCATCACTTCCAAAATGAATTATTTTTTGAAAAGTTATTTCTTTGTCACCACAAAATGATATTATTTGATTAAAAACATTTTCTCCATCAGTTGTTTCTAAATCAATCATTCCCAAATATCTCATGTATGGTATATTATCTACCATGTATTTTCCTACAATTGCTAAATACTTATTATTAACAGTATCTGTCTCATCAATCATAATGCTCCAATATGGAGATGAATTCAATCCTTCAATTAGTTCCTTTTGTATGACAAAAACTATACATTCTAAAAATTCAGATCCAGATTTATTATTAGCATAACTTCCATATGTTGGTTTAGATGATGATGGCTTTGCTATAGATGCAGGTTTTAAATTGAATTTTTTATCATTAGTAACTTTGTCAGGATATACTTTCATTGAAATATTTTTTTTTGAACAAAAATAAACAATTTGCATCAATGAAATTATTGTTAATTTTTTGGAGCTCAATTGATTTGTCAAGTCAATAAACTCTGTCTCCAATAGTTCAAATTTTTTATGTGCATTAGAATTTGAATGTTTTTTAATTCCTGATAGCCTTAAATTAGATGAACCTTTTGCAAAGTTAGTATTCCCATTTTGAGTTCTACAGATTTTGCAATATATGATTGTTTTTTCATTTGAAACTTCAACTTCTAACCATGGATATAATTCAAGCCATTCAGGAACAATGGTTTCTCTATTGTGTGATCTTTGTTCATCTTCAGAACTTATAGCATTATCACTACCAGTTGATTC